AACAAGAAGCTAGTAGTAACAAGTGCCACGCTAGTAGTAGCAGGTGCGAATTTGACAACCCGATCACCAACAAGGCCATCCCCATCACTATTGGTTGGCCATCACTAGTGGGTTGCTTGGAGGCCATCGCTATTAGGTTCCTTTTGCTAGTAGGTTGGAGGCCATCGCTATTAGAGGTTCCCTTTTGCTGTTAAGTTGGAGGCCATTGCTAGTAGGTTGGAGGCCATCGCTAGGGTTGTGCTGGGGAGACTCTAGCAGTGAAGCCTGCATCTGTTGATGTGTTGGCTCCCGGGGTTGACTTCTGGTCAGGCCCTAGGGGGTGGAAAACATGAGGGGCCAGTGGAGATGTTAGCTTTGGCTGGCGCCTTTTTGTGATATCAACCACTGGAACATATACTGAGTCCCAGACCGGAATGTAAGGATACATAAAATTGCTGCAAGGATATCAAAAAACGATGCACCAATTATGCTTTTTCATCCACCCAGAAGTGGTTAAACTTCAGGAGAGAAGTGCTATATATGTATTTTTGCCAACCCAGACATGGAAACCAACCCACGACAGAAGTGCTTTTTCCCACCAAGAATGTTCATCTTGCCTCCGCTCTTGCTGACCTATACACAGGTTGCAGATGGCAAAACAATGTTCTGTGGGACAAGAATGTGCTAGCAGATGAATACCACAAACACTTTTCACTTTCCACTTTACTACACTGCAACTTTTCACTTTCCACTTTACTACACTACCACTCTCCATGAACATGTTATACCGCTTTGCACTACCACTGCAAACACACATGCTAGAACACAAGCATGCGACAGAATACAACTTGAATACAGCCACTGCAGATCCATGGTCGACTTGTCGCTACGTCTGAAGCGGCTACTTCAGACATCAAAACACTGGGACTGCGATGAGCCATGCCTGGTTTGTACAAAACAGCAGTCTGAAACTTAGTTGTCATGTTAAACGACGTCACGATACCAGGAGGACATACATACAAATTCATACGTTTTGTTAAAGATTTAGTGGACCTATTGGATTGTTCTTTTCGATGGACAATGAATCATAGAGTCATAGAGCAAGTTGATAGGCTCTGATACTGACACTCGTCCATGGTCTAAACTACAAACAAATATAGCCAATGATTCATGAATGGACAATGTGTGTATGCTGATGCAACGTTGCGGCACCGCTAGGTTGCTTTTGGTTCCTGGTGATGACGCTTCAAGGAGGCGATTGTCTAAGACATTGGCTTCAGCAACAACCAATGATGGCGTTTCTTGTAGTGTTTAGTAGCGTGGTTTTGTACGTACATTTTGTTGGAATGTGGAATATGGCATGCAGCCTACTCAGGGAGACATGTCGGCAAATAGGCAAATTCATCGAAGTCAGTTCAGAATTGTTAGGTTTTTATGGATGAAGACGGTGTGACACAAATGATCAACATTCGCCAGATACCTCATTTATTGACTCGGTCTTTTTGTATGCCTAGCGGGCCATTGATTGAGCAGTGGGATGACATGGTGTCGCAACAACTTTCTACAAGAAATCCTAAGCGACAGCGGCAGGCATCCAGCTCTAGAGAAGGTGTTTCTCAGGATTCCATTCCTCAGACTCCTCAGAGATCCGTCTCTGACGTGATGGGCTATGGTTCCATGAATATTGACTGGCAAGCCGAATCTTCACCTCAAGAGAATGCAGGGGCATCTCAGGGCAATGTGCCACGCATTGTGATGCAAGAAGCAAGTGAATCTGGGCGGGCAATGGCATTGCCACAAGCTCCAAGGCTGACACATACAAACCTTAAAGTCTTGAAGACTTTGGCCAACAAATCATTCCAAGAACAGGTGACATCTTTGCGTGATATGGAGCCACATCGCATTTTGCAGCAAGGGCTGTTGCAGTTGGCATGTATCCAGCGACAAGAGAGTTCCTTGGCACAGCTGCGCTCTTCTGTGAATTGAAAAACCAGCAAATCAGGCGTTTGCAAGCAAGATTGGCTGAGTCAAAGCAGCAACTTGCACAAGCTAATGAGCCAACATCTCTTGAGATTGTGCGGTCAGGGAGACGGCTCACCTGGAGAACCACCCTGGTACTGGGCCTTAGGAAGCTCATGTGCATCGTTTCTGCAAATTCGTTTCCCCTGGCTTCTTTGACAGATGTCTCCAGGCACACAGTGACAAGGAGTGAGGTTATGTCCTGGTCTGTGTTGCTGGCTCGTGCACGTGGTTGGCATCGGATAGTTCTTGCACTACTGAAAGAGGCTTGTTGTCAGTTGGAACAGCTAAACCCTGCGAGCAATGAAGATGTAGCGCATCAGTATCTTGTGCCAGCGTCGCAAGTACGTGACGCTGAAGGTGAACAGAACAGAGTGAGGAGTCAGATTTTACCATCCCAAGACGACGCGATGAGACAAGATCATTGTTTGCCTACAGCTACAGAATGGGTTTCCAAACTTCTTCTGAGTCCTGCAGAGAACAGTGTTTGGGTTGGTACAGTTGGATCTACATTTTTTGCTGGGGATGCAACCAACTCATCAATTTGGAAACGACAGAAACTACAGGGCATGGAACTTCGTTCATCTGTGCTAATCGATCGAAGAGCGTTGAAACAACAGAATTATGACGCTGCTTTTAGAAACTTTGTGAGTATGTTACTTGACGTCAAGCGGTTCGCACGCCTGAACACAGTGTGGTGTTATGTTGTGTCACAGCAGGTATACTTAATCACTGCACGACTGTACAACTGTACACCGTTTAAACTGAAGACTGAAGACTCTTCACTAAAGACTGAAGACTTAAGACTTAAGACTCAAGACATTCAAGACAGTAGTTTTTGTTAGACAAATCTAACATGGCTCATACGGTGGGGTGGGGTGTTCACTGTTGACTGTTCACTGAATTTTGTCAGGCTCTACTGTAAACTCTACTACTTAGGGTTGTGCTGGGGAACTAGTTTGTTTGCTAGTCAAGTTGAGTCAAGTTGCATATTTTTCTTTTCAAGTCCCCAAGGTCAGACCTCCAAGTAACAGATGGAACCACTGGCGTCAATGTTGCTTTGACACTGAAGCAGTTCTCTTTTCTGGGCACGCAGTCTTGGTCAGACATGGCCAATGCGCATCAGCAACTGAGTTCAATTTGACAATCGTTTTAACTTAAATGTTCAGATGTGATTCATTGACTCATTGACGTTGACGTTGACTTTGATGTTAATGTTACTTTAGCGTTTGCTATGCATTCAGGTCGGTCATGGCTTGCGGATCAATTGACCAACACCAAACCACTACCACTAAACAAAACACGTGCGCTGTGCAGGCTGTGCACTGTCTTCCGTGTAGGTACTTCTGTGTAGGCAAACTATATGGTCATTTCAGTTTCGTGACAGTCCACTGTCCACATCCAAGTGCCTCTATCCTCCTGTTTAGTCTGGGCCAGTCAGGAGTGGTGAGTTGAGTCTTCACTACTTTCACAGCTTCCTGAATGTTGGGGACACTGGTCCTGAGCAGGCTGCCATGAGGGGGAGCCTGAGAACATTGTTTGCCAAACGATCGGACTTTGAGCATATGATGTTTGTGTCGCTGGGGTGTCAGAAACACCAATACCACTTGATAGCTGGAGGGCAATTGAAGCTATGTGATGCAATCCTTCGAACCGCCGGTATCAAGATCAAATACTTCAGTTCAGTTGCAACTCTTTCCCACACGTGGCGGGCATATGTGGTGAAAATGAGGTCGAAATGGTCTGCACTGCATGGGGGCTCACGAAAAGAACAGAACAAACACATTCTTTTCAAGATTCCACCGCTAGCAATATCTGGGAGGTGGGCGTCCATTGACGGCAACCTGGTTATGCTCTAGTCTGGCAAGCTGTTTTCTTTTGTTTGTTTCGGGTGAGACTGCGAGAGTATGACGGCGACGGTAGGGCTGTACACAGCACACACACGGCACACACTGCCATGTTAGGTCATGTCACAGTCACACACAAGGCCTTTCTTCTTTTTTTTTATACTTGGTCACTTGGTCAATCGGCAATAGGGTAGTGGGGACTTGCTTTCCTATTGTCAATTTGTCAATCAAACCTCATACAAAAACAACAATCAAAACTCTTTGGGAAAAAACAGGCCGGTAATTCCACGCATCTCAACATAGCAAAGGCGCCGAACAATTCTATCTGGATTGCGGTCTGGACAACATTGGTGAACTATTTTGTGCCGTGTTTGAAGGAGACATGGAAAGAGAAGCCGCCAATGCTATTGCAGATGGGCCCGCGAACTCAGAACCAACTGATGCTCTGGACGACCTGGCATTGGATGAGAGCTAGCAGTACAAAGTCAAGATCAGTAAGTACATACGAAATGCACTGACTGCTTGCAAAGAGCCTTGGTTCTACATCATGTTGATGGTGGGCAACTATAGCAGGGAACCTCTAATTCATCACTATCGCTTTCTCTGCAAGTCTGACTTCTCGTTTCATGTTGTGAAGTTGGTTTCGACCCACATTCCGACCATCGCATCAGAGTTTCACGACTGCTTGAGATCTTTGTCTACATGGGTGCAAAACATTCTGGATGTTGTGAGAAACATTCCGGTATTGTCGACACCGGTCACTGATTGCCTGGCATCCCAAGCATTCCTTGCCGCTCTGATGATTGTCCTTCACAACGCAGCTGCATTTCACAGAAGAGTCACACAAACGTTTTCCAGGCAAGTTGACAAAAGCTGTCAAATCTATGTGTGGGGGGCCTGGGGTACTGGTACGCAGAAGTCAGCAAATACACGATAGTATGTTAAGGAAAATAAGAAAGAAACAAACATTCATAACGTTTG